CAGATTTTCCTGGCTAGAGGTTACCCAGTATGGTTCCTCATTTTACAGATGAGAAAACTGAGGCCCAGCGAGGTCAATGCTGGAAACAATGAGCTCTGTTGGGGCTTAGAATACCAATCAGCGTCGTTTGGGAAGATGAATGTTCTCAGCCGTGGACGGGTGTCGCTCCTTATTCTATTTAAAGACCCTCCTGCAGGGGTGATCTGCATGCAGAGGAGAGTCTAGGAAGAGTGGCCTCTGTTCTGCTCCAGAGCTGGACCAGTCTTGGCAGGTTTAGGACTCTGGCTGGCTCAGGTCCCCAGCCTCATGGGGCTACATGGCTCACTTGTGTGTGTGTCGACAAAGTGACCCCACATTTGGGATGCCATCTTGTACCGCCCAGCAGAAAGACTGGGTCACTAGGCGTGCTGGGCTTATATAATTTCAGAGCAGTGGACCCTGCCCTTCATCACTCAAGAGAGTGTGGCCTGGCCCACATACCTCCAAAGTCACGTAGAGTTCATTGTGAAAATGTCATTCCAAAACCGCAGGGGGAGGTCTGAGAATTTGACCAAAAAGCAACTGTCAGCAACTTCTTCTTCCTAATGTATTTGCTCTCTGGATCCAAAAAAACAGGCAAGCAGAACATAACTTTAACAAATACATTTAAATAGAACATTATGCGGTCTTCAAGAACAAATGAAAAACAGTTCCTGTACATACCTAAACGATCAATAAGAAATTAAGCAAAGCTTTGCCTATTAGTGTCCAGGGCCCAGCTTTGGCTTGACAGCATGAATTGATACTCAACCTGAGCCCCTGTGTTGAGACCTTTCTCTTGCATTGGCCCTATGGAGCAAGAAAATCGGACAGGCCAGCCAGGCAAACATGAACCCTGCAAGCACTGCGTGCTGGGCCGGTATGTGGAACCACAGTGGTGCAGCTGCAGCTCTTGGGGGCTCACCTACTCCCAGGGCCCCCTCCACTCTTTAAGTGTGTCCGTATCCTCACGGTGCTGGAGACAGTGGTGGAGGAGCGCAGGGCAGGGCCTCAGGAAGGGGATCCGAGCCAGCCCGAGGAGCATACACAGGTACTTAAGAGGTTTTTCCGGAGCTGTAATGACTCAAGTCAAAGAAGAACAGAAAGTAGAACATGAGAACAGGCTCGGGGGCCGAGAACAGCGTTGTGGACTTGGGAACGTGCAAAAGGGGAAAGCCAAGCAAAGGGCCCTTGCTGATGGACCATGGAGGATGATGACGGATTGAGTGATGAGTGGGGGCTCAGGTGCCTGCCAGAGATCTTAGATTTTTTTCCCTGTGGTAGAAAATCAGAGTGGT